AGTTCTTAAAAAACTCTTGAAAAAGGCCTAACAAGCCGAAACATATTTGTAGAGTTAAAGTTACTCTTATTAAAAGTTTTTGATACATCTAAAAGCGTGTTTTATTAAAATACTAATATTTCAACGATGTTTCACAAGGAACCAACCACAGCTTCAGTACAATTTATTAAAAATGCAGGCGTCGCATCTTTAGTGGTTTTCTACAAACGATGTCTACTACGGTCTAAGAAATGTTCGAACCACATATGGTTTATTAAACAGTGCCTGAAAAATAAGGTGACACCACAACACAAAATTGTGTGCAACCACAAATCTCGTGAAGCACAGGAGTCAGTGAAAAAAGCGTACACTATATGGCTACAAAATGAAATTAAATTCTGGTACAAAAGAAGAGACAACATCAACCTACATAAGAAGCTATGCTACACTGAGTTGTTAGAAAAAGAAGGTCATTTTGTTTTTCAATACAGAGACAGACTCATAAGAGAAGAAATTAGTGACTTAGTTAGTTTACATTATAACACACAATTAAAGAAACTTAATAAACTTATTAAATCCAACAATTGTGACAATGTTAACAAGGTTGTAAGTACACAACATAACAGTCTTTTTGCATTTCACCCTACACTTATTAATTTATCAAATATTACTTTTTCAAATGATGAAATTTCAATATTGGAAAAAGGATTAAAATATTCCCCAGCTGTTTTTAACAAAAAAGATATAGAATTGCTAGCAGTTAACACCGCAATCGCAGTTGGGACTTTACCTCGTGCCTCAACATGTAATAAATATCGCATAGTAGAAAATTTCAATAATTGTAACAAATATTTAAAAACTAACAGTAAAGAGAAAAATATCATACAGTCTATAACCAAGAAAATAAATGATAACAATTTAATAATTACAAAAGCCGATAAGGGCAACACTATAACAATTCTAACAAAAACAGAATATGATAAGAAAATAGCTGATATTTTAAATAGTGGAGATTTTACTAAAATTTCTGATCCAACATGTAATTTTCAAAAACAAATTCTTTCTATTTTAAAAAATAACAAATCTATATTACCTAATAACAATGAATACTATGCCAAAATAATGAATCCTTCACCCCCATTACTCTATGGTTTACTAAAATTACATAAAGACAATAATCCAGTTAGACCAGTCGTCTCGTACATAAATGCTCCCTCTTATAAATTATGTCAAATACTAGCTAAAACACTTCCTTCCATGATCAATTTTCAATCAAAATTTGCCATAAAGAATTCTTTTGAGTTGCTAGATAATTTGAAAAATATTGAAGTTCCACATAATGCAACACTCGTTTCTTTCGATGTCAAAAGCCTGTTCACTTCTATCCCAACCCATGAATTGTCCTCTATTATTTATGAACTAATTGATAAATCTAATCTTAATATAATAGTAAAATCAGATTTAATAACAATAATTGAAACTTGTTTAGAACAAAACTATTTTCAGTATAACAATGAAATATTTAAACAGAAAGATGGGTTACCGATGGGTTCCCCAATTTCACCGTTATTCGCAGAAATATTTATGGCAGATTTTGAAAAGAAGCTATTTAAAAACAAGAGTAGTTTAATATCAAAAATAAATTATTGGGCAAGATATGTAGATGACATTTTTTGTATTTGGTCAGGCACCGAGAGAAATTTAAACAGTTTTTTAACATTATTAAATTCAATTAACCCGAGAATACAATTTACTATTGAAAAAGGTATTAATACCATCAATTTTCTTGATGTTACAATTATAAAACAGTCTAATAGATTACAATTTGATATTTACAGAAAACCCACTACCACAGACACTGTAATACATAGTCAATCACACCAATCCTGGCAAATCAAAATGTCACCCTTTCATAGTTTAATTCATAGATTGGTAATGTTTCCACTGAGCCCAGAGAATTTTAAAAAAGAGTTAAATATTATTAAACAAATCGCCATCAACAATGGATATAAGTGTTCCCTTATTGATAATATGCTAAAGAAAAAACAAAAGAAAATATTAATGAAAAAATTTTATTCCGCTAATTCTAAAGACAATAACAATTATCGACTTTTAAACTACATTCCTAATTTAACTAACAAAATATTAAATAATCTCAATAAAATAGGATGTAAAATTATTAACGTAAATAAAAGAAATTTAGGTCAAATTTTATTAAATAATAAAGACAAAACTAATGTCAAAAATAAGTCGGGTGTATATAGAGTGGATTGCAATGATTGTGATGCCGTGTACATAGGCCAAACAGGTAGAAATTTAGATATAAGGATTAAAGAACATGTAAAGTCTATTAATAATCTCCAGCAAAGTTCTGGTCTTGCAACTCATTGTATAGTAAATAATCACAAAATTAATGAAAACTCAATTAAGTTACTACACAGAGAAACAAAAGGTAGACGCTTAAATTACATTGAACAGTTAGAAATACTAAAATCTGTTAAAAACGAAAATAATGTTAACGACCAACAAGGATTTCTAAATTCTCTCTACATTTTTTATTACCCCTATTGTAAACTCTCTGAACCCACCCCCATAGCATATATAATATATATATATATATATATATATCACATTTTTTATTACCCCTATTGTAAACTCTCTGAACCCACCCCCATAGCAAATATATATATAGTTACAGTGTAGTTAGACGATTAGTTCTTAAAAAACTCTTGAAAAAGGCCTAACAAGCTGAAACATATATGTAGAGTTAAAGTTACTCTTATTAAAAGTTTTTGATACATCTAAAAGTGTGTTTTATTAAAATACTAATATTTCAACGATGTTTCACAAGGAACCAACCACAGCTTCAGTACATATTCTTTAGTTTTCCTTAGATCATAATACCTTCTTAGGTACATGTTTGAATCTATAGAAGCTGAAACAACAACACTTGGGAGTGGAGATTCCACAATATGAATAAAATAAACATAATTCTCCAGTTTTCTTATATACGAGCCTGGGAGAACATTATTTTTAAATTTATTAAAGATACTTTCAATAAAATTGTCTTGATTTATAACTCGTAGCCACTTTACTTGCTCTACCGGACACTTTAGGCTGCCTAGCTAGCGATTCTGTAAACATATTTCCTATCTAGTGACTCATCAATCGTATACAAATAGCATAGGCTAGACAGGAAATTTCTTGCTATGGAGCTTACAGAATCCCACTGCTAGTATAATTATCCTTGCAACCAGGAATACAACAAAAAGATGAGGCATAGCACCAAAAACACACTCCAGTTAAGCTTTATTGATGAATTGCTAGAGTCCATTTCACTAGTCCGAAAAAGTAGCAAAATAAGCGTTTGGCATTTAACGTTTTATCCTCTTCCCCTCTCTTCCTACTCTTGGCGATAACGAGGGAGAATTATGGACATTCCGGTGGCCGGGTCGTAAATTTTATACAGAGTAAGGGTGGGGGAAAGGGTGCTTTTAGTGTGGGAGGAAGAGTTAGAGTGGATGAGAGTGGAGAGATATTTTTTAGGGAGTTTTAAGAATGTTTTCTGTTTTGTTTGAAGGTGAATTAAAACTTGATTTTCATGCATTCGTTGTCCGATGATACGATATTAATTTTATTGGTTGAATTTAAAGACTTCGATTGGTTAGAAAATTACACAGTTTTATATTTATTGCATTTTCATGCCTCCGTTCATCCGATATAGATACGCTTTGCTTGTTATTGGTGTCATTTTATATTTTCATTTTCATAACGATTTGGTTGTTTTACTTATAATCTTAGAGTTAGCAACGAGAGAGAATTTTAAGAAAGCTGGTTCTTCAATATATTTTTTGTTATGCTCTCCTGAATGCGGACGATCTGGCTGCCGGTAGATATTGCGTTCACTATTGCGCATCCCTATATCTGTATTCAACATCTGTTTATTACTGCGCATCACAAATTTGCCCTGTATTTTAGGAATTAAGAAGGCTAGGACAAACCTATGTGTAGCATATTTAGTTTCAAGAACCAGTAGCAAAGTAATGTGAAAATTGCATCACTGTATCTCTACTCATAAACGAGAAATCCTATAAAACACACGAAAATGGGATACCCTGTACAGATGTGGTGCACAGTAGTGAATCGCAGTAGTCTACCGGCAGCCAAATGGCTCGCACTTTTATCAGGAGAGCATAGCAAAAGATATATTAAAGAACTAAAAAACTAAACTCTAAAAATTCTCGTTTTCCCGACGGTGCTAGCTCTTGTATAGAAAACGCCACGAATGTGTGGGAGTGATTCATCGGCCGCTACCATGTGAACTAATCTGTTCAAGGTCACATAAAACTTAATTCCAGTGCCGTGGTGTTTCAAGTCATATAATAATCAATACATAATCTGTTGTAATTTGTTGTTTTAATTGTCAAAATCTTGTCAAAAACATGTATTTGGTTATAAATATAAAATGGAATGCCCCATTGATCGCACTGCAAGCACACCAATGGACTGACGCACAAAAACGAATCAATCAAAGAAACGCGATATAGTATCGTTTTGTCAATCACGCTAACATTTTAGAATAAGTAGGAGGAGCGCAGGCAGATGATTAGACCGGGCCTTTAAAAACCTACGTCTGCGGTAAAAATTTACGTTTTGAATGTAAAAATGATAGCGCGCGTGTCGATTCTAACTTCATCAAGCGATGAATCACTCCCAAACATTCCTGGCGTTTACTCTACTATTGTGTTTTTATTAAGGTTAGATTAAATTTGTCAAAAAAGTGTCAAAACGTCTGTTATCATACGATCTTTCTCTGTTGACGGGCTGGAGTAAAAAAATTACGGATGAAAAGTGTGTGTATAAGATAAACTATAGTTTCCGGGGTTTTGTAAACCAGACGTTAACGGTTGATAATAAGGAAAATACTTTAAAAAATGGCGCAGTCGGTAGGATTAGTTGAAGCACAAAAATTCGAATAAAAATATGAAAATAAATGTAAATTAAATACATATCAATCTTACGAGTAATTGAAGCATGTCCACATCCACAACTGATCCAGAGGCGATCCTCCCACTAGACTCTCTGGTGGTCTCCTTCTTGATCCAGATGGTCCAGCACCTGATCCTCTTTGCCGATAGGATATGGCCGACATTCCCGAATTCCCTCTTCTGGCACATTGTCTCTGGAAGAAGGATACTCCTGCCTCCAAGAAATCTACTTCTCCAGTTATAGGAGAAGGTGTAGGTTCTTCACTGGAAATAAAAGAAATCTGTTTAAGATATTTTTTTATAACTTTTTGGGGTATTTTAAATAATTTCGTGACTTTACATATTATAAGAAAATCAATGAAAGTTGGAGTGTGATGGCAGATGACAAATGTCAAATAAAATTCGTAATTTGTCATTGTCATTCGTTTTGACAGTTTAGTTTTTTATTATGAGTTTTTGGTTTAAATGAATTGTGTTATGATAATTTAAGCTTAAAACTTTTTACTAGCAGTCCTTGCAGTGTAACATTGTTCTTTTTAGAACCTCTTTTAGTGCGAAGTGGTACAAGCTTAATAGCCGAAAAAACGGGAAATTGGTAGTAATGACCCTTTATGTCCCTTAAGTGCTGTTAAGAAGGTGAGTTTTGTTGATGTAAATAATAACTGTTTACATATTTATAATTATTTTATTTTTGTTTTCAAAAATATTTTGATTAAAAGAAAATATATAAACGTGGGCAACGCTGTGCCGGTCAAGCTTAATCACGTGACTAAAAGTTTATTTGGTATGAACTGTAAACAAATATTTTTTTATATCTACACTAAAAATTTTATTGATTTCCCTATATGAAAAAAATCTTTCATAAATTATCTCTCTGTACTTTAATATCCCCCTGTATGTATTTTTACCCCTCGTACCCCTTTCAAATTCTGTTGGTACAGACTCTTTTCAAAGCGATACGGGTTATTAGTATTTAAATTACTTAGTGACCTACTTTTTATACTTTTAAATTAAACTGTCAGTTTTCCACCAGGACGTGCATTAGAAATTCTTTTATTCCCTAACACTTCAAAAGTATGAAATTGAAAATAACCAACCTCGTTTTTTTAAAAAGGTCGACACTTTTCTTATGTTAATTGCGAAGAACCTGTTCTAAATAGGTATAAAAGGCGCGAAGAAAAGGCAGTTTAAGCTACGTAAAACTGGATTTGCATAGAAAAAATGTTAATATGAATTGAAACAGGATATACCTATATATGTGAATTAAGTCTTTTAAAATATTCAGGTTTCTTTTACATTAAGAGAGTTTTAGTTTAAAATTGAATTTACATTTTCTACATTATTAAAAGATTTCTGCCATTTATCACTTCATTTTCTATCGTGCTGGCAACTGGCAACTGGCAACTCTTACTTTTGGGTCGGTATTTGCATGTGTGGAAGTAAATCGCATAGGGATCTTATTAAGTCGGAGTGAAAGAAATGCGACGGTGTGCTGTTGCGACGTTGCCATATTTCTCCGGTACGCCTTTCCCCCTATCAACTACAGTAAAATCACGATCCCTATCGCTTATTTTTAAAATACTTTTTTTCGAAAAAGATAACTAGATAAAATCATTAGATATGTTTCTGAGCATCTGAAATGGAAATATAAGGATATCGTTAGGGCGTCTATTTTTTTTATAACGAGAATACGTCAGGAATCGCGATAATTTAAAAACTCAACATTTTAACACTTAATACGCGATAACCCAAGAACTACTTTAGATATTGACACTTTTTATTTTGAAGTTCGGAGTTCGGATCTTTTACAAGATGTTTAAATAAGAAAAATTCGATAGGCTTGTTTTTTTTCCATTCAAATTAAAAAAAACATCCATTTACTTTGAGTGCATTGCAATTTTCAGCAATCATGTAACTTTTTTATTTATAAAGATTTTCACATACTGTCTGCGAAGAAAATGTAGCAGAAATTATTAGTTTTATGTAAATTAAGAAGTTTTTGAAAAAATAACTACAATCAATTACTTCTAATGGACTTTGAGATATCCATTTTTGAATTCAGAGTTCTAATAGCGCGACCACTGTCGAACACCAACTCAATTCCACTTATTTTTTACCAAAAGTGCAAGTGTTTCTAATTTGCTTTTAAAAATTGACAAGCTATAGGGAAGATTACAACGACTCGTTAATAAATATACAAATAAAGTATCACGAGACGTAATTAAATCGTGAAGCTGAACGCGTGATGTACACTCTTCCCTAGAATTTTTGGTACTGATTGGGTGTGGTTTGGGTCGACCGGTCCACCGCGACGAAATCTGCTATATCCCTTTCCACGTCTCTTAGCAATGTGCACAGATTCTCAGTTTATTTCATACGTTTGGCAACGTTTTTACTGTTTCCTCTTGGTTCAGTACATTATAAACGCATTGTACTCTTCTTACATACGGAAATCTCGACCCAAGGCTAACATTTGCCGGTCCTTAGTATGTACAGGGTGGTCGAAATTGGTTTGTATTGACAAAGAAAACCTATTTCCTCACTAGATCGAGCAAAACCGACATAGATATCATGGGCTCGATTTCTGAGACACGTTTAATGGCGTAAACCACCTGTTGATATTTTCACTGCCAACTGAAATACGGGGTCTTTTTGAATTTTTTACCATTTTGAAAATTGCCCATAACTTTTTTATTTCGCGGAATAATAAAATTCTGTAAAAACGTTCTTAAGGCACTTCTTTCAGCAAAATCCGGTGGCGTAGTTATTTTTTTTCTACGCTTGTTCTGGTTGTCAAAAATAATAAAAAATATAATTTTTTAAATGGAAATCATAGTCGGCTGTAAACTTAAAAAATGCTGCCGTTTGACCCTTTCCAACGATATAAAGTTATGGGTATCTACTTCTAAGAATGGAAGAAATTTTTGATCTTTATATTGAAGCGGGCCTTGATTTTGTGTTGACCTATTTGCTTAATTATTTTTTATCACAATTTAATATTCTATATGATTATTTATCTGCATAATTAAAGACTTTTGAAAAGGTAAATTAACATTCTATATCAGTATTAGTAATTACAATTGAAATCGATACAATAAACAAAGAACAAAACTAATTTAAAAAACATTTAAATGATGAATATAGTTTACTAAAAACAATCATCAAAGATTTTCAAACTGAGCACCTTCTTGTTGAACATACAATAAACATCTTTTGCGCACAGAGTTACGATTTATTAGGCAAACTGGTGTAATAAGTCCAAAAGCTTGCCTAGTAGCCTTCTACAATTCTTTTCTCGTCCCAATGGTTCTTCCTTTATATATAAGGTATTTAATTTCTCCCATAAAAATTAATCCAATCCAATTTTTTCTAAATTGTCCATTTAATAGTGCAGGCATAACCCTGGTGTTTTCATTGTAATTGGTAATACTGATATAGAATGTTGATTTATCTTTTCAAAAGTCGTTAATTAGGCAGATAAATAATTATATAGTATATTAAATTGTGATAAAAAATAATTAGGCAACTGGGTCAACACCAAATCAAGGCCCGCTTCGATACAAAGATAAAAAACCTAATATTTCTCGCATTCTTAGAGATAAATAAACATAACTTTATATCGTTCGAAAGGGTTAAACCCCAGCATTTTTTTAAGTTCATAGCTAACTATGATTTCCATTTAAAAAATTATATTTTTTATTATTTCTGACAAAAAGAACAAGCATAGAAAAAAACTGATTACGCCACTGGATTGTGCTTAGAAAGTGCCTTAAGAATGTTTTTTTAGAATTTTATTATTCCGCGAAATACAAAAGTTATGGGTAATTTTGCAAATGGTAAAAAATTCAAAAATACCCCGTATCTCAGTTGGCAGTGAAAATATCAACAGGCAGTTTACGCCAATAAACATGTCTCAGATATCAAGCCCATTATGTCGGTTTTGCCCTACCTAGTCAGGAAATAGGTTTTCTCTGTTAAAACAGACAAATTTCGACCACCCTATACAGTATGCCTGGATTGTCTTTACAACAGTAAACACTTTTTATTATTGACATTTTGAGAAAATTGCATTCTTTATAAACACCTTGAATGTTCTAAAAAGGTTTATAAAAAAATAATAAGCGACCTCGAAGAATCTAATCTTGGTCGCGATAATAGGAAAAAGCTGATAAAAATTAAAAAAGTACGATTGCAGACTAATTTGTAAAAATATTTGAGAGTTTTATTGCGTCTGTCGTTTGTATTACAAACCCTCTCCTGCCTTCTTGCTTAAAAAGAACTTGTTCCCGAAGCCTTTTAACGAATTAATTATTAACAGACACGCGTTTCGAGTTTGAAAAGGTCCCCTTCCTCACTCTGCCCGAACGATAACGTGAAATTTACGAGTCCTTCAGCGATTTAGAGTTTCGCAGCCTCGCGAATATTATTCGAGATGGAATTGGAAAGTAATGAATTTGTCGTTACGGCTAATCTCGCAACGATTTAATTTAAAAGTTAGATTTTACGATTTCCAGATCTTCATTAAGCGGGAACGGGTTTCCAGTTGCAGGGGGCTTAGTATTTTATAATCCGCCCCTTCTCTCGAGGGGATGAAGGGGGTAGTTGTTGGTAAATTGCGACGATAACGTAGTATTTATAGTTGAAAATTTTACTGCGGGTATAAAATAAAAAAGTTTTTGAATATTTTTTTTTCTGAAAAATAATTACATAATTTTATGGGATATGATTCACAATTTATTTTTATTTACCACCACAGCCACTGTGACATAAAGAGAAGACATGTGGCTATCTATTTCAAACATTAAATTGTTCAAATGTCGTATAATAATCCTTAATGGCGGAAGCTGTCATGGAATTGAGCGATTAAAATATTATTATAAATCATTTTCTTCAAATGGAAACCCACTTTTTTATTTTTTAAAGGCTTTTCAATTTGTTACTTTTTAACTATACATGTTCGTATACCTAAAATGAATCGTTTTAAAGTTATTTAAGATTTAATTTGAAAACGTATATTTTTCTTGATTTTATCTAGCTTCCTTTGACATTGTGTCAAACGGTCAAACAATTTATCTTCATCTGTACAGAAAACGAATTATTTGAATTTTCTATATTATAAATACCGCCTGCCTTAAGAGTTTAAAAAGTGTATTTATAAAAATATATCTCGTATTTTCGCTCTTTAGTAATATCTAATAGTTGATATTATTAATAATATTCCGTATGATTTTTGAAAGAAGCGTCACAATATGATATGTCCAGATCTATTTTTTTACATCACTTGACGTTTAAAGTCATAGGCTACTGGTTAAAATCAAGAAAAATATACGCTTTAAAACTAAATCTTAAATAATTTAGAAACGATTTGTTTTAGGTATAGGAACATGTACAGTCAAAAAGTAACAAATTGAAAAATCTTTTCACTAGTGAAATAAAAAAGTGAGTTTCCGTTTGAAAAAAAATGATTTATGATAATTTTTTAATCGTTCAATTCCATGACAGCTGCGGCTAGTATTATATGACATTCGAACAATTTAATTTCTGAAGTAGATAGCCACATGTTTTCTCTTTATGGCACAGTGGCTGTGGTAATCACTAAATTTGACGTTTAGGCTATACACATATTTTTGACAGGTAGTTTTTTTCGTTCAAAAATTTTAAATATTTTTTTTCTCAAAAACGGTTAATGTTAGATATAGAGTGTTTAATATCAAAATTTATAAAATTTTACAGAGAATTTAAGCATGTGCATGATATAATATTTTTAATCGATAGATCTCGTTTAACCATGATGTGCAAAAAATCTCCGAGCTAGATGTTGTACAGTTGAGGGTTTGGGCGTGGCAAAATCTAGCCAACCGAGTCAGAGCCCACTGAGCGTAACAGTTAGATTTCCGCCACTAGAGTAGTAGGAACAAAGAACTTGAAGGAATTGGACCGTTGTCTCTGTTCATACTATCTCTACATTTATTAATTCTGATGCTTTCATATGCATCTAATTGCCTGTAATTTGAGACTTGTTTAATTAATTTTAAATTATTAAGATCTATACAATGTTCTTTATCAACAATATGTTCGGCAACGCAAGATTTATCCGGTCTACCATAACTTATCTAAGCTAAATGTTCTTTAAATCTAGTTAATATTGATCTTCTAGTTTGCCCAACATATTTCTGATGATATTTCTTGTAAAGATTGTAAAGAGAAATATGTTGGGCAAACTAGAAGATCAATATTAACTAGATTTAAAGAACATTTAGCTCAGATAAGATATGGTAGACCGGATAAATCTTGCGTTGCCGAACATATTGATGATAAAGAACATTGTATAGATCTTAATAATTTAAAATTAATTAAACAAGTCTCAAATTACAGGCAATTAGATGCATATGAAAGCATCAGAATTAATAAATGTAAAGATAGTATGAACAGAGACAACGCTCCAATTCCTTCAAGTTCTTTGTTCCTACTACTCTAGTGGCGGAAATCTAACTGTTACGCTAAGTGGGCTCTGACTCGGTTGGCTAGATTTTGCCACGCCCACTCAGTGCCCACTGAGCGAGTATATAAACGCTCAACTTGTAGATTGTACTTTAGTTTATAATCATCTGCTGATGATGCTAACTTGGTTAGCGAAACGCGCGTCCAGTGTAAAAGTAAAAGTGTTTTGGTGTATTGTGGTGATTTAGTGTTTTTATTTTGCTAGATGTTGTAGTTCTCTAGAAATTTCTAATGCACGCTCAGCCTGAGACACCTTGTATACAGGGTGTCAAAAAGAATGTATCTAACTTTCTCGGTGATTTTACAGATAAAAATAAAATAAAAAGTTTCAAAATACAAATGCCTTAAAATGCTTCCCCAGGAAGTTACAGCCCTTGAAGGAGTAAATAAAAATAATATATTTTATTGATTTTTTATGGACATTAGTAAACCGTTTTTCTTGAAATTTGGTACTCTTATATACATTTTAATGCCAAAACAAACGACGATAGTGTAAAATATCTTAACAGTCCTGAAAGGGTACTTTTCATCAGAGAGTACTACTGGTGGTACTTCTTTTATCTTTATAGATAGATATTTTCAATAAACGACATAAAAAGATAGGACATTTTTACGTGAAAAAAGGTGCCCATTGTTTAGTTCGAAACGGTACACGGTTATCACGATATTTACGTTTACAAGTTACGACGCATTGATTTTAGTATTAGCGAAATCATGAGATTAATTTATTTTTAATTTCTTTACATTTTATCATTTCGTTAATACTAAAATCGGAGCATTTTAACATTTAAACGCAAAAAAACTTATACTGATGTTTCTGGGGTCGAAATATACTACCCTTGAAAATATTTGCACTCATTTAAAACTCATATATTTTTTTAAATAGAAATTATGTACCTTATTCTAGGATCAAATCTGAGGTCACCGGTTGAACTGGCTCTACCACCAAGCAGACACACCAAAGAAGAAGGCTCGGCAATGATTTCCAGGTCAACAGATTGATCTGATAGCCAGTATTCTCTATCTTCTATGTTGACTGAGACCTGTTTGTTGAACAGTTTGACGTTGAAGCTGATCACGTCACTTACAGGTTCACCCTGTGGTGTGACGTAGTAAACAAGAAGTTGACTGACAGGAGCCATGACGGGTTTGACAATAAAACTAAAAAGAAAATGATAATGAGACATTTGTGTTAGAATCAGCATTTTTTTACAAATAATTTTACACCACATACTTGGTATTTCGTGGCATTCATTGAAATTTAAATCACTATTTTGTTATGCGAAGTTGACATATGATATGTCATTCTATTCAGAATATCATTTTCTATAAAATAAAGTAAAAAAATACCGAGGGTACCTTATAAAAATCAAAAGTTGTAGTTATTTCCGCTGAAACAGGAAGTGACCCAAACTAATTGAACACGTCATTCAATCCCGATTTATGTCATGTACTAACATACCAAATTTCATTTTTTAATCTGATAAAATAAAAATCTTATAGGGGTGAGCCACTCTTGAAAAACACCCGGTATAAATCAAGATAATTTTCAAAGAGGTACTTTGTTATACCGGGTGCGTCTCAAAAGTGGCTCATCCCTATAACATTTTATAATATAATTTTTTTTTATAATATAAATTTTTAAAAAAAGTTATAGAGATGAGCCACGGATGCACCCGGTATAACAAAACACCTCTTTGAGAATTATCCTGATTTTATCTTCAGATAAAAGAACGAAATTTGGTATGTTAGTATATGACATAAATAAGGATTGATTGACGTATTCAATTCTTTTCGGTCACTTTTTGTTTCACCGGAAATGACTTACAACTTTTGATTTTTAAATGGCTAAAAATCGTATTTTAAATTTAATCTAGAGTTAAAAAAAAGGCTGTATTAAAAATACTAATTTTTAATTAAGGAGCCTTAGAAAAATAGATTTGATAGTCTAATGTTTTTAGTGTCTTGCCCTGGCAGGTTAAAAAATGCCCAAATCGTATTTTTTAATCATAATCTAAATTTTTGCAAATGGAACAATGGTGGGTCTTAGCATATTTGGAAAAGAACATTTTTTTACGAATAATTTGGTACCACATACTTGGTATTTCGAGTCAAATTGTCGTTATAAACTGCATGTTACAATTTCCAATAAACCATATGCAAAAACGTCAAAAGTTGATATATGATATGTCATTCTATTCAGAGTGTCATTTTTTATCGAATAAAGTAAAAAAAATAACGAGAGTGCTAATTAAAAATCAAAATTTGTAGTCATTTCCGGTGAAACTGGAAGTGGCCGAAAACAATTGAATACGTCAATCAATCCTAATTTATGTCATATACTAACACACCAAATTTTGTTTTTTTATCTGAAAAAATAAAAAAGTTATTGAGATATGCCATTTCTGAGACGCACCCAGTATACATTTTATGATTTATCACAGGTAGTAACTATGAACAACTACAAGAAATACGACAAAACAAAATTAGATCAGAAAAATAAACTAAAAACGCAAATAATGTAGAAATCTGAAAGATTTAATTATACAAGTTTGAATTTGGCGCGAGCAAGACATTTCGAGTTCTCTATTAGCCAGAGCTAAAGATTATTTAATCAGACTGATGTATAATAATTTCGCAAATTCAATTTCAACTTCCGAAAGTTCCCTTAGTGAAAGAGGAATTATGAAATTGAAAAAGAGACCTCAAATTGGTCTCTGGTAATGTACAACTTCTCTTCAGACAACTTTAGTAATGACTGTGCGTTAATGTTTAGCTCAAAAGGGAAATTTCGTTTTTATGAGAGTTATATTTTTTTGGATTACGTAATATTTTATAGAGTTAAAGTAAGCAATAGCGGTAATGAAAAATCAAACGATCTATCTAGAAAAATGAACCAGAACCGTTCTGCTTCCAAAGAAGAAACCAACTTAAAACGGAACTCAAGAACCTATGAAAGTCTCCATCCGTAACCTGGAATGGAAATTCTCCAACGGTCTAAGACACTCCAAGAAATATCTCTGGATTTACGATAGAAATCAATCAAAGATTTTCCATTGATTTAAATAAGAACAATTTCCGGATTATCACGAGGTTTTTAACAGGACACTGTCTCCTCAGTGAACACCTAAGTAGATTGAAGATAAGAAACAACGGTAAATACAGATTCTATGGGGAAAATGGGGAAACACCAAAACACCTCATCGAACACCTGAGTGCGTCGAGAAGACAACCATTCGTGCCATAAACCTTGGGTACGACTGATATCGGAGATCGACAACTAACCTTTATGAAACCGTCTCAAATACAGGCTTTCGTAAAAGCCCTGAGATTGTATGATGAGTTATATATAACTCTAGAAAGGGGGACACAATAGATCTGTAAGGTCGCGATGAGTAAGTTCACAACTCTCATACATTATACATTCTACAACACAGTCAAATCTTAACAAAGAATCATATTTCTTCCGCTAATGGTAATCTGTTATTTTAATATTACTGAAAGATAGAGAGGGATCTCTACACGATGCTTTTGCACACAAAAAAATTCACAACATTCTGCGAAATTTAATATTATGTTTCCTACGCCCTGCCAATACCTATAACCCAAAACCCTTTCTCTTATTAATAGCCAAACATCCAGATCTCCACTATTTCTCTATGATTTCCGTGCCCTTAATCTTTAAGGACTTTTTCCTTAAGGCAGGATTTGGATCGATTTGAGGATCTATGGTAATCCTCAACTTTAACAGAGACGATTTTAATATTAACTTGAGTTATTTTAGTATGAAACAAATAATCCTCTATTCCATTGTGGATTAAGAGTAGTAATAATATAAATATTGTTTATATTGCTTTTGAATTTGTTTGTGATTGTATTTTATAACCTGACCTCTGTATGACTATATTAGAATTGTTAAATTCTGATTGTTAACTATTCTGATTGTAATTTGATTATTTTAGCTTTCTGGGCCAGGGGATGGGAATTAAATGAATCCCGAAACATGTCGCCCCAATTTTAAATCAAATTAAATTTTGAAATAAATATCCTAAAAGATTGTGGGTTTTTTGAGTCCCCTACCCCTCGTCAGAGGTTTTACATTGATATGTACTCACACTGGGTTGGAGAACGTATAATTAATATTATATTATTACGACTAGGTTTATCTATTTCACTGATATTTATGAAAAAAAGTCCTTTGCCTCGGGTACAGATACCGCCACGTTTTGAAAATAGCTCAAAACGAAACAAAATTGAACGAGGTAACAGGAAACGCCAAAAAATCCCCCCACGCCCTCCTCACGAGTAGTTTTCAGGTGCTTTTAAAAATCGAAAGTAGGTCGAGGCAAACCGAAGTGGCTCAATACAACCGGAAATAAATTGAAATGCGACACAGTTGGGCGACGAGATGCGACCTTGACCTGCTTCGAAGAGTTCTCCGCATAGTGTAGAGGCTGGTAAAAATGTTGTATTTTTGTATTACGAAAACAAACATCTACAAAACAAAAAAATACCTTTCTTATTTTGTATATTTCCTTCCAGTTGTAAAAAAACAGATTTATTCAGAGACCATTATTTATATCTTTTAAAATAACCCTCGTATCCAGCATCTGTTTGCTAAAGAAAATAATTCGGATCCTGCTTGATTAGCTTATTGTCTGGAAGGGGAACAACATGATGGATGGATTGTGGCGGGCGGTAAAGTCAGCAGATTGTATCAGGCTGTGGAAAGGGAGATTGTTCGCCGCAAACAGATTTCTCTAAAACTTTCGCCGGAGACGGGAGGTGATCCTCAGCACTAAGCACCCAAGTTCGCTGTTATTAGGCAACGATTTGCGTGCTTGATTAATAACAGGGCATTATCGAGATTACGGAGAGTACTTCTTGTCCTCATTACTTTGCATCTCGCGAGACGATAAATGGACTTTAGTCAACAACAGTCATTTTTCCGTCCTGTCACTTGGCATCGTTTAATATTAAGTGGTCAACTTTATTTGTAGCTGAGTTATAAAGTCTTCAGAAAATCTTAACTAGATATATCTAACGGGAACATCCTCAATAACTTAAATAAAAACGATACCGCTATAGGCATGTTCTCTAGAGCTACTGTATTAACTCTATTATTTTATACTTAAAGTTAATTAGAAAATGCTTAGGCTCCAGTCGTGCTTTTAATGGTACATGGTCATTCACATCTGAAGATATGGATGACTTCTTCTAGTAAATGTCTAAAATTTTCTTGTGTAATCGTATTAATGTATTTATTATGCAATTTAGTAGTTAATCAGGTGGGGTTCTAAGCATCGTATTGCTACAAATCACACTATTTTTTTTCTGTTATTCTTTAAATATATTTGATTAATACATTTTTGTTATGGCCTATTGCATTTTTTAACAACCAAAAAATATTGGGCATGATCTGTTAAATTTATCGTTAGGTTTCTTTATTTCTTATTGATAGCCAAACACCCAGATATCTCTAGTACCTTCCTCAAATAAAATAATTACTTGATCTCCTCTACAATTTCCGTAGACTTAATCTTTAAGGATTTCTTAAAGAAAAGGTTTAAATCAGTTCAAGGGTTTGTAATAATCCCCAACATTAACAGGGATAGTCTTAATGTTAATTTAGGCTATTTTAGTATTAAATAAAGAACACTTTGTACCATTGTGTCTAATAGTATTTTTTTACTAAATACGATATTTACAAACACATGGCTAGGGAATGACAATCGATAACAATTTGGCAAGGTCAATCTCTAGACGTCATTTACAAAAAATTGATATAAAACTTCAAAAAAATTAACACTGGAACGTTTCCAGACACATAAATCTATTTTCAAAAAAATATTTTTTAACTAAAATCATAAATTTGAAATGTTTTGTGCCAAAAGTTCAACAGAAACTGTTTTATCATCATTTTTTAGCAGAAATATTTATGATTAGGCTTAAGCTTTTCTTAACCATTGTCTCTAACTTTTACACTGTCCAAGGCGGACCTGGATCGATGCAAGGGTCTGTGGTAATCCCCGACATTAACAGGGACTGTTTTAATCTGTGTTATTCCTCCATTAAACAAAGAAGGCCCTATCCCTACGCAAAGACACGTGTTTCCCTGGCTAAACGATCCAGACAAATCCGTCAGGATTGAACTAGTGAGGGGTTTAGAGGGTTTACTTCCCCAAATCCGATATATCTAATAAGGGATAGTTTTGGGGAGAAAAGTTTTGGTTTCGTTTCAAATCAAACTGATAAATGACGATTTAAAGTTTGTAATTCTAGATTAATAGGTTGAGATTAAACAAATAAAGGTAATCCTGGGTGCCGTACCGCCGACACATGAACGCACTAAACAAGTTCAATAGAGACACCTTAGGCGACTCTTAAAAACTAAATTACTGCGAAAGCGTTGAAGTCATGATTACTAAATCCCGCTTAAAATGGCCTGATTACGTAAGCAGGATACAAGAAAACCGCCTACTAAAATCTTTTCTTTACGGTGAGTTTGTAGACGGTAAGAGGAAACCGGGTGATCAACTCAAAAGTACACATATTTTCGCCGATATTTTTCCCAAAAACTTAAAGAGGATAAGCATGTAGAATCAGTGGGAAGACGCAGCGCAAATTAGAACGAGAAGAACTGTAAACTCAGTTAACAGCGAGACAACCAAACCAAAAAGTAAAGAGACAACAAAGCAATGATATTTTTGAATGCCAGGAGCGCGGAAGAGAGATATCATCACGTTCTTTTCATCAGACTTTTCAGGCACAGAAAAGCTCATAAAAGAAAACCCCTTGTGAAATTTTCTGATGGGTGTCAAATACTTGTCAGCGAGTAATGGCAGTAGCAGTAGTAGTAATGGTAATCATAATATTACTGACTATGATAACCATTTTATTTTTATAAAGAAATATGAAATTTAACACCAGGTTTAGTAAAAAAACACTCTTTGAGACTTGTTCCAACATAGTAGAGAACTGTTCTTGGCACGGTTACGCTTATGCGCAGTAGAGAAAATGCCAAAACAGAACAAAATAACCCAAATTAAAACTAAGACGATTCCTGTTAATTTTGGGGATTGCCACAAACCCTTGAATCGATCCAAACCTTTCCTTTAAGAAACCCTTAAAGATTAAGGGCGCTGAAATCGTGGAGAAGATCGAGTTAATATTTCAGATGAGGAAGGTAAATACTAGAGATTTCGATGTTTGGCTATTAATAAATGAAAAGGAACCCTAATCTTAAATTTAACAGGCTGTGCCCAATATTTTTTGGTTAATAAATGTTTAATGTACCGGGTGGCCAATTAAGAATGGACGCCAGCTATATCTCAGAAACTACTTATCGTATAACTTTGTGAAAAAATTTCTATCAAGTAAATAGACCAAGAGAAATCTTTGGAGATTATTTTCAAGTTCGAACAATGTCCGCTAGAGGGCGTATCTATGATGGCCGATTCGAAAACAGGATTTTTCCTGCTGTAATCAATGGAAATATTGTAATTTTTTTGGTATACCGTATTTTGCTCTATCTCATAAAATAAGGTGGGGGAAGGTTAAACTTTTTTTTATTAAAATAAGGATAACTCTGGTTTAGGTTAGCCGATTTACACAAACAAGAGTTTCTTTAAAAGAACTCTCCAGTATAAATGTTGTTTCCACAGATTTCTTTAGAGAGCGCTGTTTGACATCATAACAGATATTGCGCTTTTGCATAAAAAAATTCAATAGACAGGCTATGTTTACTTACAACGCATAGTTAAATCCTATTCTAACAGAAACATTTAACAATTTGTTCATAACACAAAACGTTTCAATGTCAAATATACGTCAACAATTAAAATTCTTTATACCTTCGCATGGTTAACAAGTAAGTAAATTATAGAATTAACTAAATTTTTGTTTTTCTCAAAGCCACTCACCTAAAGCTAAGCCGGCAGGTGGCGCTAGTATCGCCGGTGGGCTTGGGTAACAAAGTAAGCTCCTCGTGTCTTTTTTGAGCCCAGTCCGTAATCCTACCGTCCGTCGTGATGACGTAGTGCATGTCCTTTTCGCAGGGACACGTCGACAGGATGGTGACGTAGGCTGACTCTTCAGGCTAGGGGATTACATTTAAATTAATATTAATTTTTGAGGTAAATATTTTAAAATTTGCGATAAAGGAGATACATAGAAATTTCATATTAAAACTACGAGATCTGAGATTGCTTTAAATTATACAATTTAATATAAAGATTTCTAGTACAAGACAATATTTAAATGGATAAAACGATAGGTTTAGGTACCATTATTACTCAAAAACGGCTGGACCGATCTGAATGATCTCTGATTTGCTGTCGAAAATATCGGAAAAATTTGACAGCTCAAGCCATGCACCCTTATAGCTTATTTGTAATAATGGATATCCAGCACTGCAAATCAGTGATGTATTAGATATTATTGAATAGAAATTCAACGAAAAATACTGAGATAATAGCATATTCAAATGTAGAAGAATAATGAAATAAACTAATCGAAAAAAGTTAACGATATTGTGTTTTTGCTAGAAAGAAAATCTTTCAGAAAAAATGTGTTATAACTATTAATACCTATGTCGTTTGTGTGTAAAAAAATAGGGTTTGTAAACATAAAAAATTGTACCCAAACAAATAAAAAGCATTATGGAATGTAATACCACAAGATGTTTCGGGATTACCGAATAATACTTTTACCCGACACGAAATGCGTTACCCGGCAACACAACGAGTAGTGTTGCCGGTATCGTAGTGAGTGTCAGGCAAAAGTATTAGGTAATCCCGAAACATCGAGTTGTATTCAAAATATTATAGAACGAAATAAAGTACATATGTCCTTCTTATCTTAAACATTTTTATTATAATAATTAACGGGATATTTTGTGAAACTGACAGAAATGACTTCTCAATTAATATTTCAAAAAATGACAATTACAATATGGCCACCAAGCCATAATCACTTAAATGGTTATCACTTATTAATCACATCCTTCTGGGAAATTAAAACAACTTTCGTTGCACGTCATCAATGACACCATGCGTCGTCTTATGGAGTTTGCTGGTGGTCGTATTATGATGCACAACGAAAGTTATTTTAATTTCCCCATCATCAAAAATGTCCATTTAATTTTTGTTTAAAATAGAACTTGTTTGCGTGTTGCTAAGCGGCAGTTTGCAATATTGTGGTTATTCTGTCATCGATAATATGAACAGACGTCATTTAACAATAGAGGAAGCAACTCAAGCCATTGGGTTTCTTGGCGGTGCGCGACAGATCGATGTGGCTGATTGATTTAAATTCACCTAAAGTATAATTTCTAGGCTTAAAAACCGATTTAATGAGACTGAATTTGTCATGGAGAGGCATAGGGAGGGTCGACCAAGATCGACAAATGCTAGGGAGGACCGAAACTCACTGAAAGGAGCTAGGATGGATCCTGCAAGAAACTGCACGTTGCTCAGCAAGGACCTTTTGGCTGCCAGCAGAGTACGTTATTACCCCTCGGACGGTCTTAAATCGATTAAAAAAGCAGGTTTACATTGCTATAGGCCTATAAGACGCCCTCCGTTGACTGTGAGAGTCAGATTGAGGTCATAAAGCTCAACGTTTGCTCTGGTGTAATGAAAGAGCTAACTGGAATGATGAATGGCATACTGTGATATTCATCAGCGATAAAAGCCGCTTTTGTCTTCGTTCTAACAGACGTACAGTTTTTGTGTGGAGACTAACGACCGATATGTTCATGAAGGGCATCCCTTTGGAGTTAGAGGTGTAAAGGTCTAATGGGTGGAATTTTCTACGAAGGCCGAACGGAATTGTATGACTGTGAAGGTACAATGACAGGTGAAATTTATGCTGACGACATCATTGGATGATCACGGAGGGCGTCTTATAGGCCTATAGCAATGTAAACTTGCTTTTTTTTAATCGATTTAAGACCTTCCGAGGGGTAATACCTACTCTGCTAGCAGCCAAAAGGTCCTGGCTGAGCAACGTTTAGTTTCTTGCAGGATCCATTCTAGCTCCTCTCGAGCATTTGTCTTCGGTCTGCCCTAGCATTTGTCGACATTGGTCTACCCTCCCTATGTCTCTCACAATACACAACAATGAGTCTAACTACAAAGAGAATATCTAAATAATATGTGAGGGAGTCTACACCATAATTGGAAATGGTTGAATAAACTGAGAATGATGATTATGATGATGATAAAAAATACTTAAATTTAAATGTAAACAAAAGTAGAAAGAACAATTGACAACTGAGAAATTGATTGAGGTCTGAATCATTCCAGATCATACGATCAATCAACCACAAACACCCTCACTTCACTTTACAGTTAGGCGGTGAAAATTTAACCGGGTTAGCTAGTTGTAAAATAAAATTTGTCTTACCTGTAGGGTATGTTCTACCCCTTCTACCAAGAGATAGCAATCTGAGGATGAATTCCATTTGTGGATGGGTTCTCTTGCTAGTACATAATGGCTTTCTATCTCTTTGCTTTCTACGGACACCAATTCAGCCTGAAAAAAATGGAATGACCCGTAAGAGTTTTTAAATATCATATCATCATATTTATCTACGACCTAAATCAAGACAAATTAAACACAAGAAATCTGAAAGAATTATATTAATACTTTGAGATTTCCCATAGAATGTGTGAGCTCTTTAAATTAAATTATTCTTATTAGGTATAGCGCAGTAAAGTTACATTTTAAACTTTACAACGTAATGCAATTTCCTTGGGGTAATTCCCACCTCGGTTTCCTATCCGGAAATACGGCGCGTTCGGTTCAATGAATCCCGTTTTAAATCCACAATAAGCCATTTTACGATATATCCCCGAGAAATTCCGACATAATTCGATGATACACGATGCCCCTCTATTTTTGAACGTGTTTAGAAATATAGGAATATTTATTTTAGCCTTTTTTTGGGTCAAATACGAGCTTTTTGAAGAATTTATTGTCTGAATAAATTTGAAGTACTTGTAATAAATACGTCTCATTGCAGATCAGTTGTTATCAATGTTGCATCTAACAAAAAAGTAATTTAAAACATTTAAAAAAAACGAAGGAGAATAATTATTTTATATTTAAGAAAGTTTAGCGTGGCATTTTCAACATCCTGTAAAATTTAAGATTACGAAATTTATAGCAAAATAAGTACAGACCAAGTATATTTACTATTATCTCTAAAACCACGAAAACAAAATTAATAATACGTTAAAATAATCTAAAATGATCAGATAAAAAGCCAAAAATGCAATAATATACAGAAAATCGGAGGAAACATCCATTAAAAACAGTGAAGTTATAGAGTATGTCCTCGGATTGTCTTTACATGAGAAAATATTTTTTTTATTATTGACATTATGAAAAAAATGCATTCTTCATAACAATTTTTGCTTGTTCTAAAATGGTTAAATCTTGATTATACTTTTCCAAATTTCCATACTGTTTCAGAGATAATGGAGAAAAAAGCATGAAAATGTAGTTAATTTTTTAAAGTCCTAAAAATCAAAACGCGTTTCTATGGTAATATAATTCCTTTTTTCTTTAATTTTTATTTTATTTTTATAATCTTTCATTCTTTGATAGATTATTATCCACAGAATTTTAATCAACGTCATATTTTTGTTGCTTTAAATCGACAAAGAAGCACTATACATATACATACAAAGGTGATAATAGCTATCGGAAACGTGATACTTTAACAACATCAAAAAATATGACGGTAATCAAAATTAATTATAACGATTTTCCAAAGAATGAAATCGAAATTATATTACCATAGAAACGCATTTTAGTTTTTGGGACTTTTTAGAACAAGCAAAATTTTTTTTGAAGAATGCATTTTTCTCCAAATGTCAATAATACAAGAGTTTTTCCTCTTTTAAAGACATAGTACGAGAGCTAACAACGTCGAAAAAACAAGTATTTTTAGACGTCTGCCTCTTTGATATATCTTTTACTATGCTCTCTAGAACAGCATGCGGCCCGTCTGGCTGCCGGTAAACGTTGCGTTCCCTACTGCGCATTGAAAGAAGATCCTATATTTTTATTAGTCCTTTAAATTCTAGTATTAGATATAACCGACCGAGTCTCCATAGCTCAGCGCGTAGAGGTTTCGCCTATCAAGCGAGGAGTCAGAGTTCGAATCCGGGTCAGGGCAATTTTTTCTTATTTTCGTTTATATTCTAATAGTATAAAGTATTAAATATTTGTTTTTTTTGAATCACCAAAATTATTTAATACTTTACTATCAGAATATAAACAAATCAAACTATCAAAAAAAAGTCTTTGTCCTGACTCGGGTTCGAACTCTGAATCCTCGGTTCGTAGTCGGTAACTCTACGCACTGCGCTATGGAGACATGTTCGATTTATATTCAATACTAGAATTTATGGGACTAAATAAAAAAAATATAGGATCTTCTTCCGATGCGTAGTAGTGAACGCAACGGGTATCGGCAGCCAGACGGGCCGCATGCTGTTCCAGAGAGCATGGTAAAAGATATATCAAAGAGCCAGACGTCTTAAAATACTTTTTTAAAAACGTTGCTAGCTCTTAGATTAACAATCCGGGGACATACTGTATAAGCTTTTTCTTAACTCTCTGATTATATTTTCTTAATTACTAAAACACTTTCCTTTTGCACTGGACGCGCGTTTCGATAACCATATTAGCATTATCAGCAGAAGATTAAAACTGATGATTGAGTTTAACTTAATTAAAACAGAGATTGAAAATTTAATCATCTGCTAATGATGTTAACATGGTTAGCAAAACGCTCGTCCAGTGCAAAAGTAAATTGTTTTGGTGTATTGTGGTAAATGTGTGTTTTATCTCTGAAGTCACTGTACTCAATTTAATTTACAATGCCTCTACTCAAAATAAAATAAAGCAGATCCTATCCAAAATATATTTAAGAATTCCTCTCAATTCCTCCATCATAAATTATTACTACTGTCCCGCTAAACAAGCGGCGCATAAGCGCGATACATCTTGTCGAAACGAAATCATAAATCGGTACCAAATCCCATATTGGAATCACGTTTTCTATATCTGAGCCCGGCCACACGCCTGGAGCGACAGCTTTTTTCCGATCAAGCCCCGGATCTTAGAGGAGCGGTGCGAATCGTACATCATCGAATTATGTATCGGAAATATTCGGAATATGTACTCTGTGGAATAGAGATACTGAAATTTGTCGTGCTGCAATTGTATGTATTTGAATATTGTTAGGAGTGCAAAGAAAGGTTCAACGGTCTATTGGTCTAAGAAATTTTGCGAACTGATATAATTTTTGTAAGGGTTATACAGGGTGAGTCTTAAATAAGTGCAAATATTGTCAGGGCTGGTAGATCTCGATAAAAGAAACATATTTTCTCTTTACCATTTTTCAGATAAGTACAAAATAACCGAGTTATTTAAGTTTGAAAATTTTAAAAACATTGATTTTTTTTGGAAACATTTTGAGACACCGGCTTTTTTCTGTATTTCCATCGCTTTTATTGCCGTAACCATAGAGTAAAGCCGTAACTATGGTAATATCTGAGATTAAGGGATTATACCGTGGCAAAATTTGCGGTAAACAGGCAGTTCTAAAAAGTTTTCGAAAAATATATAGGGAAATTTAAAAGAAAATGCACCATTTTCAACATCTTTTTTTAGCGAAAAAAAACCTCACAGACGTGTTCCTGGGTTCGAAATATACCACCCCTGAAAATATTTGCACTTATTTAAGACTCACCCTGAATAGAAAAAATTAGATTTAACAAAAAATAAGACAAATTTTTTTTCTTTTTAGTTACCATGAAAATATCGTTCACGGTGATGAAAAAAAAATCTGGAAGTTTGAGCTCTTAATATTAATGTGTCTCATTGTTATTTTTGAAAGATTTGAACATTGTACAAAAACTAAATATTTTCAGACCAAAAATTAGCGACATCGACGGCATTTCCTGTGGCCTGCAACAGGTCGTTAAGCATACAAGAAACTAGACACTGAAGGCAGCTATACCGGGTGCGTCTCAAAAGTGGCTCACCCCTATAACTTTTTTATTTTTTCAGATAAAAAAACGAGATTTGGTATGTTAGTTTTGTGGTATATGACATAAATTAGGATTGATTGACGTATTCAATGGTTATAGGTCACTTTCTGTTTCACCGGAAATGACTACAACTTTTGATTTTTAAATGGCACCCTCGCTATTTTTTTACTTTATTCGGTAGAAATTAACACTCTGAATAGAATGGCATATCATATGTCAACTTTTGACATTTTTTGACAAAGCACAAAATGTTCGTTCAACTTGGAGCCTCCGCGTCGTATGAGAGGCGCCACACTGTATAGCCATATAAGTGTTTACAAAATTTGTCTTAATATTTACCTGAAGTGCTATAATATCACTATCAGCCAATATAGCAGGCACTACAAACGTTCCTTCGCCATTAGAGATCTCGATATCTTGAGAATAGATTGATGTAGTGTTGTCATAAACTTTGACACGTACTCTGACAGATTTTTCTGTACTCATAGCTTCAACCTATGAAAAAATAACATTCAGTTTAAATTATATATTCAACTTTTGTGGATTATTATAAATATATAACTGAAAAAGGTACCTTTCCTGAAAATGGAAGACCTGGTTTGTACCTCCTGCGCATCTCATTGCCGAAACGTAGTTCCACGTAGTGTTCTTCGGCGACTGAGACATCTGGAGTACCTCCACCAGCGCCTGGTGCTACCTCAAATGAGGCGTAGAACTCAGCTTGCTCTACCTCAACATATGCCAACCAACGTCCAATGAGTGCGTACGGGCTTAGAGGTAAACTGAACTCCTTAACTCCTGAAAGAAACAGAATATTAAAACTTGAAGAATTTTAGGAAATACTTATGTGACTAAATAAGCTGTGCCAGATATTATTAATGATAAACTTGAGGGTAAATGTCTACATTTCTTTTTTTAATTTTCCATTCTAAACGAAGTGTTAAGTGAAAAAGATTGACTGCTGTCAGTAACCGTTCACAACGTCTTTTAATTTCGTACAGCCTGCTCTAGAAAGTTCTAAAAATAATAATTAAATATTAATTAAATTATAGCACGACTCGTGACAGGGATAAGGGACCAATTTTACCAAAAAAGTGAATTAGGTGACCCCAATTTCGGGATTAATTGTTTTTTGTCTGTGGGGGAGGAATTTTAAAAACACTGCTGATGCTGGGTTGTGTTAAAAGTTCCAAAAAATAAGGGGATTAAATAAAGAATATTTGTCTAACTGAACCGGTTTTTAAATTATTTTTTCCTTTATTTATGTATAATAGCTGTATAAAAACGCTTAAAACGCTAAAACATTCTGGATTTTTAATTGCTTTGTTAGTGCTTATTATTATAAGTATTTTAATTATTTGTTAGTTATCTTATAAACTCTTTATGCAGTTTAATCACCAAACTTGCTCTAATAACCTCCGGTTATCACTTTTAAATAACTTTATTAAAGTTGATACATAAAAGGTTTATTATGTATATTTAGGAACGCTCTTACAGCTACATTAAAAGTATTATTGCCTAAATGGTCATTTTGTGCAAACTAACACTCTTATAAATCTATCTAACTGCCTCCGACTCCTTTATATAGTATTTATAAAGAAGCAAGTAATAAGAAAGCATATCTTGTGTTACTTGGGCCTCCCATACTATCTACAATTTATAATTTTGATGTATTCATTATATTAGGAATATTCCAAAGAATGGTGATAAGGATAATATATACTTAGCAATATAATTTTACCTTCATCTAGAGGGACTTGATCCCAAATGGCAACTTTGGTGCCTTGAGGATCCTTCACGCTCACAGTGGCAACTGAACCTGATGCAATCTGAAGATCATGGTCCAACGCGAGGACCCAAAATGAGACTGAAAATAATATAAATACAATATTAGTGTTTTTGAATCACTCTTATTTTATAGATCTACATAGATAGGATTAATTTTATATTTCAAAAATATCACTACCGGTATGTCAAGATATTTTTAAAAATACAGAACGATCAACAATGATTGAAATAGTTTGGCAACACTGTATTAGGGGACGTCCATTAATTACGTAAGGGTTGTTTTGAGCCTAAAATATGCTGAAATATGACACAATTCTTTTGTATATTAAAATCCATGAATAGATATAAAATTATTTAGTAATACATAAAAATTGTGGTCGCTGATTCCTTATTGGTTGAAAAATTATGGCGCGCAGTTTAAATTTCACAAGACGAGTTATAGAATTTCTGTGCGCCAGTACAGGGTGTCCCATTTTAGTTGAAATCATACGGTATCTCCGTTACTAGTGAAGATAGAAGGGTGCGGTGTTTGCACAAACCTGTTCCACTTTTTTGTCAAACGGAAGATGCTGTAAACAAAATAGCCCTTTTCGTTTCTGAGATACAGGGTCTTTTTGAAAAATTTCCAATTTGGTACACCCCCCGCCCCCGTATCTCTGTTATTCTGAAAGATATCGCGAAGGAAAAAACTGTTTATTGTAGAACTTTCTACGTAGAATACAGTGGCGTAGTCTGTTATTCTAAGAAAATAATATTTTTGAAGATATGAACTAAGTTATGTTTTCTTAAATAATGGAACACCCTGTAAATGTAATAATTATATGATCTGGCTTGCCATAAGCTTCTCAAAAATATTCATCACTCCATATTTATTTTTACTATTTACTGCAATATTTAAATGTTTTCATTAAAATATCATTTTTATTAGTAGGCCATGATTGATAAATAAAGAAATCAAAGAATTATTAAAAGTATAATGCTATCTGTCTCTTGTTTTATTTTGGAAGCCACTAATAAATTCTTTATATATCAAGGAAACTTACTATTTTACTACTTACTATACTATATCAGGGAAACTAATTTTAGTAGTTTCCATTTAAGTATTATTTAATGTTAGACTCTTTACATCTCAAAAGCGGGAGAGGGAGGGTCAAAAATCTTCAAAAACTTAATTTATAGGGACCCCATAACTAATAATTCTTATAAACATACCCTTTAAACAACTTTTAAGTGACTTCCCAGCTTTGGAGTTCTTTGTTAGCTCCCACCCAAGAGCTGTGGCACTTTCAGGGCGGTAAAAGACGTAAAATATGATCTGATATTTTCTTAAGTGTCTTCTACCTGCCGTTGAGAATGATAAATATTGCGATATTAAGAAATAGGAGGTAAAAGTGGGGAGATGTGAGGTTCCCGGAGTGTCTCCCTCGTTTGGAGAACACATGCTGCGTTCTACGCGATACGAGATGGGAATTTTATACGCTTTTATATAGTTAATTTATTTTACAGAGAGTAGCTAAAGAAGCGTTGCCAACTCTTGGTTAGCCTCGTCCTACTAAATTAGAACAAAAATCTTACTAGAATCATAGTAAATCAAAACCTCAATTTATATTAAATAAAAAAACCGGAAAAAATAGTTTTCCTGTTAGCTATTGGCTCTAGTTTTTTTTTCTTTTAATTGCCCGACCTTCTTAACACTTAGAGACAGTTTTATTTCTTACCGAATTTAGTACATACAGGGTGTTTCAAAGACATGTGCCATCTCTCGCGGGGAGATTCCTCACGTAAAAATACGATTTATTTTTCATATCAACAAAGACCCGATTTTGCTTTGTTTCGTAGCTACAGGGTGTTAAAGTCTTAATATTTTTTCGATTTATTTTAATTTTCTTCCAAGTACAGTACGTCTGTCCGTTCTGTAGTTACGGGGTATCCGTGAGAGGGGAAACCTTTGAATAAGAAGACTAAGGAAGGAGCATATCAAAGGTCCATATCAAATCTTAGGTCCACTGCGATGGGCCTCAAATATGGCCGACTTAAATTCCGGTTGATAAACCGCACATTAGTGCCGTTCTAATTCTATTTAAAAAATGTAAAACTATGATGTAGGGTAGACGTGGGGTAGACTCAATAATTTGTTAGTTTATTTTACGTTGTGAATAAATGTTGGTTGTTATTAAAATTGTTATGAAAATATATAATCTAATAAAAATAGATAAGTTATAATAATTATTCATTAACATAAACACCCGATACGCTATTGAAGCAGGTAAGTCAAATTGACGTATCTAAATTCTTTGACATTTAATCTTTGACAAGTAGTAAATAAAAGCAAAAATGCAAGAAAAAATAAATAATTAGTTAATTTAAGTGAATTTCATAAATAATCGGTTTACTACAGGTATGTATATTATATAGTCACTTACTAGCGAAATGTTATTCCATTATTTCTCTCGATTTTTGACCGAGATCTACCGCACACTACACAACCAACTATTTTTCAGTCTCTTTCGATAAATCACAATAGTGTCACCGTAAATTTAAGTTCTGCTACAATTTCCATCTAGATTTACTACCTTTATAGAACTATCAGTAGTAGAATAAATAATAAATAACATAAAATAAACTTAGTAAAGACTGACAAATCCACAAAATTTCAAATCAAATTCAAATGTGTCAAATGAATTGCTAAACGGAACTGTCAAGGATCCCCATACTAGAGTCCTCTTACCGCCCACATGGATAGCATTATACTCCTTCCTTGATATTTTTATTTAAAGGCATAAATTCAGTAAGAAGTACAAGTAAATGCGGTTTCACTTTACAAATTCTGACGCACTTCTGTCGATCAATCTTCCCACACGTAATTGAAATAAAAACCGTCTGACACAATATCGAGTTACCGTTTTCCTATACGCTCGATTTTTTCTTGACGATGTTTACTCCGTCAACACCCTTCAAAGAAAAAAGATCGTTAAAACGCCCTTCGATGATTACAGTAATCCTATATCGAACCTACGTCTCGCATCGCTCTTTTTCTAATTGAAATCGAAAACAGTTATTGACAGAGATATCAGTTAAGGTTTACCACACAACACGTCAGTTTTTCCAAGCTTTTATATAAATTGTATGTATACAGGGTGTTTCAGAAAACATGTGCCATCTCTCGTGGAGAGATTCCTCACGTAAAAATAAGATTTATTTTTCATATCAATATAGGTCCGGTTCTATTTTGTTTCGTAGCTACAGGGTGTTAAAGTCTTAATACTCTTTCGATTTATTATAATTTATTTCCAAGTAGTTTTAGCGATTCGAATAATATTTTGAGGGTAAAAGTTACTATAAGTGCTACGTATTTTAATACTAAAAAAGTTTCGATATATCCATCAGTGATGTACATACGATATATGGGTTATCAAAACATTTTTCAAAGAAAATATGTGCGCTACTGACTTTTTTTCTTTTGATATCAAAATTGTGTAGGCTGTTTAATGCCAGTTAAAAGTTATCTTTTGATATTTTGTCGAATTCGGCCTCCTTGATCAGATAAACGCACTTTTATAAATCACAATTAATAAAATTAAAATAAATATAAAATTAATAAATTATATAGTTTACCTAATTTATTATTAACTATTATTAATACTAGTTATTATTACTATTACTCCAACTTACAAAAAATTTCAAATAAAAAATAATGGTATTAAGAAAATTATCAAAAAATAAATAATAAAAAACTAATCCCAGCTACTTAAATATCAAACTACCTAATAAAACTAAAGTAATAATTCAAAACAATTCAAACATAACCTAAAATAATAGATCTCTCCGGCCGGCCCCGGCTGTCAAATACCCGCACATGCCCATTTAAGCAATTTTTAAACGTTATTTAGAAATAGCGCTTGGTGTAATTGATCCGCAAATTACGTCAGGCGGTAACGTTATTAGCGGGTGTTAAAAATTGACTCGCGCATATCGTAATCATGATAAGGTACGCGTAAATACTGCATGACGCTATTCGGTTTTCCGATATCTCTCTAATAACTGTGCCGGTCAGGCGCTGTGCACAATTTTAGAGGCCATAAGTGGGCGAGCTATGTGCGCAAACTAGTAACATAACTAGTGCCCGATTCCGAAAATTGGAACCACAAAAAACAATAAAGAAAAAATAAAGTTTATAATCTGTATAATATGTGCTATAAGTGCGACATGGCTTAGCCGTTGATTGAAGAAATAAGAAGATGCGTAACCTTATGAGCGATTTCGTGGCACAAAACCTGTCCGAGATGTAGCTGTCGTTACCGTCAGCCTGTCTGAGAATTCCGAGATTTAGTTTAGCCTTGCGCCGCTGCGCGCTGATAGTCATTTAGCGGGTAAAGAATACTGTACCGTAGTTCTGCTTTCAGTCGACAGAGTAAGTGGTTGCCGGAGACAGTGTTGTTAGAACTACTGATTAATCCGTAGATTTACGGATTTTGAGTACAGTACGTTAATAATACGGATTTTCTATTAAACTATTTAATATAATATTATATGATCGAACAAAGAACGGCGTCAGAGTTGGCTTGGAAATGTAGATCGCTGTTATTTCATATGTAAAATATTATGATAAATGTCAATAATCGTCATTTCCAAGCTAACTAAACGACTTTTTTCGATCATACGACATATTCAGTACCTATAAAAGAATGTTTATTTTTGTTGATTATTCTATGTTTAACGCGAATTAATTTTCAATACATAAACGCGGATTTTTCATTTAAAGATATTTTCGTCAAATGTATTACAGATATTACACATTTTAATATGGCAACACTCACTTTCAGATCCACACCGTCTGCGATATGCCTTCTCTGGCCGAATTAGAGAAAATAAGTGTTTTATGCGTTGACCGCAGAACGATTGGTGTCTCCACCGTACAGCACTTGAGACGTAAGGGGATATCAAATCAGCCTTGTTACGAATTCGCCCATTAGGTTGCGTATCTTCCCAATTCTTTCAATTAACGGTTTAACGATAAAAAGTTGATATAGTTTTCTAAAAAAAACACACAGAATGTCAAAACACATGTTGTTTTGGTAATTTTATCTTCAATATATTTTTTAAGCGATAAAAGTTGTTTAGGAACGAATGAAGATTTTGAAATTATCTTGTTTATTTTAAGAGAAGTCAGCGGCGCGGCGTACCAATTTTTTGTGTATATCACTCTGTATATCTTACCTATTTCTTCAGGCCTGTACGCATGCTTTGCCGGTCTAACGATGACGTCCCTGACGGGTCCGACCAGTCGCACTTCTGATGAACTTTTCAGCTCGCAGTTCCCGTCCTCTTCCACGCCACTGCCCTCGCTCGACACCGAACAATTGATCAGCGTTTGCAGCATGCAGCTGCCAGTGGCGTCCGCCGGCACTTGCAGTGTAAGGATACCGTGACCTGAAACAAATCGAGTATTTATTGTGGGATATCGGTTGTTTTATTTTTTGCTTGGTGAATTCGAAAATCTGTAGTATAATATAAGGTCACTCTAGTAGTACAGTATGTCCCCGGATTGTCTTTACAAGGGGGGATTTTGTAGGGAATAGAGGTGGGAATTCTAGTTCCTTTGGAGGAACTAATTCCTTAGTTCTAGTTCCTCCAGAGAAATAGTTCCTTGAACTAGGTCGTTAGAAACGAACATTGACATCCTCGTTACTTGCTAATGAGTTTCGTCAAAGAATATTATAGTTTTAAGAACTCTCGTGTGGAAGCTTTAGCGATTTGTCATACGGTGGCGCTTTTGAACATAATCGAAGCCTGAAAATGCTAATATTTTAAATTTTGAGGACTACGCGCGGCGATATTTCGTACGGTGTTGCCAAAACATATTTTATTTCTCGATATTTAAAGAAATATGTATTGATTATATATTTCGTATTCGTTAGTACATGAGGCATCCTAAGGCTATAAAAACGTAGCTATGAAAATAAAATTTTAGATTTTTTAATTTTTTGTACCTTCTAATAAAAAATACTTCTATTCCAATAAAAATTAACTAGTATGATTATGTGTTATCTGTGCTAGTATTAGGAAACTGGAGTAAATACGGAGAATATTAATTCGTTCTCTAAGATGAGCACTACTAAGTAATTTTTAAAATTCGACCCATAAAGGGGTGTAATTAGATAAAGGGGTGTGATTATACAAAAAAAACTGTACCTACTAGAGTATGAACTTTTGCACAGATGTGGCGCATTTGAACATTGATAAGCGATTTTGGAAATGTATAGCCTAAGGGTAGTGAAACTGGGGGGGTGAAATTTTGTACAAAAATGTTAGTTCTAGGAGTATGAAATTTTGTACAGAGTTTCCTTAAGTGACGAAAGTGAGTATCCAGAAGCTAATTTTTGACATTCATCCCCTAGAAATAAGGGATGAAAATTTGTACAAAAGTTTGTTACAATCGGTTTTAGAAGTGTGAAATTCTGCACAGACGTTCCTTATGTAACGTAATTTAGCACTAAGTAGCACTTTTTGGAAATTCGCCCTCTCAGGGTGTGAAATGAGGGGTGAACGTTCTGAAACAATTCTGTTGAAGGAATATGAAAATTTGCACAGAGGTTCCTTATGTAGCGTAATTGAATAATTAGAGTGATTTTTGGAATTCATTCCTTAAGGGGGTAAAACTAGGGGTGAAATTTTGTATAATTTTTTTATGTAAAATCCGTTCTAGGATTAGGAGTATGAAATTCTGTTCAGAGGTCCCTTAAATGATGAAAGTGAGTACCTAGAAGCGAATTTTAGGCATGCATCCCCTAAAAATAAGGGATGAAAATTTGTACAAAAATTTGTTAAAATCGGTTTTAGAAGTATGATTTTTGCAGGCGTTCCTATATGTAACGTAATTTAGCACTAAGAAGCAATTTTTGGAAATTCGCCCTCTAAGGGTGTGAAATGAGGGGTTGAACGTTCTGGAACAATAAATTCTGTTCAAGGAATATGAGAATTTGCACAGAGGTTTATTATGTAGCGTAATTGAATAATTAGAGCGATTTTTGGAATTCATTCCTTAAGGGGATAAAACTAAGGGTAAACATTTGTATAATTTTTATGTAAAATCCGTTCTAGGACTAGGAATATGCAATTTTGTACAGAGGTCCCTTAAGTGATGAAAGTGAGTACCCAGAAGAAAATTTTGGACATGCACCCCCTAAAAAATAAGCACTCCCTATAAAACAATTAAAATAAAAAAAATTTGTCTAAAAAATAAAAAAAAAGTTGGGGTGGACCACTCTTATCACTTAGGGGTATAAAAAATAGATAACCTGGGAATAGGTTGTGACCAAACCAAACCAGACCTACTGAATATACATATAAAATTTTATCAAAATCGGTCTAGCCGTTTCGGAGATGGTAACAAAAAAATTAAAAAAACAACCCCTATTAAAAAATAGGGGATGATGATGGAACGGTGAAAATTTAGGGTTATTTGTATTTTTTAATGCCAACTAAAAAATAAAAACATTTTTTTCTTTTCAAAAAATAAAAAATGAGGGTGGGCTACCCTCTCGGCTACCCTTACCACATAAGGGTATAAAAAATAGATAACAACCTATTCTTAGACGTACTGAATATACATATAATTTTATCAAAATCGGTCAAGCCGTTTCGGGGATGGTAACAAAAAATTTAAAAAAGCAACCCCTATTAAAAAATAGGGGATGATGGTAGAACGGTGAAAATTTAGGGTTGTTTGTATTTTTTAATGCCAAATAAAAAAAATTAAAATATTTTTTCTTCAAAAAATAAAAAAAATGGGGGTGGGCTACCCTTATCACTTAAGGGTATAAAAAATAGATAACAAACTATTTTCAGACCTACTCAATATACATAATAAAACGTCATCAAAATCGGCCAAGCCGTTTCGGAGATGGTAACAAAAAACAACCCCTATTAGAAAATAGGGGATGATGGTAGAACGGTGAAAATTTAGAGTTGTTTGTATTTTTTAGGCCAAATAAAAAAAAATATCTTTTTTTCAAAAATAAAAAAATGAGGGGGCTACCCCCTCGGCTACCCACTATCACTTAAGGGTATAAGAATAGATAACAACCTATTCTTAGACGTACTGAATATACATATAAAATTTTATCAAAATCGGTCAAGCCGTTTCGGAGATGGTAACAAAAACTTAAAAACAACCCCTATTAAAAATAGGGAGGATGAGTAGAACGGTGAAAATTTAGGGTTGTTTGTATTTTTTTAATGCCAAATAAAAAAAATTAAAATATTTTTTTTAAAAAAAAAAAAAATGGGGGTGGGCTATCCTTATCACTTAACGGTATAAAAATGATAACAACGTATTCTCAGACCTACTGAATATACATATAAAATTTCATCAAAATCGATCAAGCCGTTTCGGACATGGTAACAAAACATTAAAAAATCATCCCTATTAAAAAATAGGGGATGATGGTAGAACTGGTGAAAATTAGTGTTGTTTGTATTTTTTAATGCCAAATAAAAAAAATAATTTTTTTTTCACAAAATAAAAAAATTGGGGTGGACTACCCTTATCACTTAAGGGTATAAAAAATATATAACAACCTATTTTCAGACCTACTCAATATACATACAAAATTTCATCAAAATCGGCCAAGCCGTTTCGGAGATGGAAAAAAAAATATATAAAAACAACCCCTATTAAAAATAGGGGATGATAGCAGAACGGTGAAAATTTAGGGTTGTTTGTATTTCTTAATGCCAAATAAAAAAATAAAAACATTTTTTTTCTTTTCAAAAACTAAAAAAAAATGAGGGTGGGCTACCCTCTCGGCTACCCTTATCAGTTAAGGGTATAAAAATAGATAACAACCTATCCTTAGACGTACTGAATATACATATAAAATTTTATCAAAATCGGTTAAGCCGTTTCGGAGATGGTAACAAAAAATTAAAAAAAACAATCCCTATTAAAAAATAGGGGATGAAGGTAGAACGGTGAAAATTTAGTGTTGTTTGTACTTTTTAATGCCAAATAAAAAAAATATTTTTTTTTTTTCACAAAATAAAAAAATTGGGGTGGACTACCCTTATCACTTAAGGGTATAAAAAATATATAACTACCTATTCTCAGACCTACTGAATATACATATAAAATTTCATCAAAATCGGTTAAGCCGTTTCGGAGGAGTACGGTAACCAAAACCACCCAAAACTGTAACACGGGAATTATATAGATAATATTATATGAAAACTGCGGAGTGCGGAGAGCGGAGAGCGGAGAGCGGAAAGACTGATTATAGCAATAGATGAAATTTAAAACTATAATTTAAAACTATTCAAGAAAGTACACACAAAACAAGGCAACGCCGCGCGTCTATTCGTTCAATTCCGAGCAAAATAGCGAGGCCCCACGAAGTTGGGGCCTCGCTCGCCAAAGCGAGGCCCCATCGACAGGTCAGATTTTGATGCGAGACGAGACGAGACTAGGGTATTAAGATATTCTTTGGTTTCGTTGTCAGTCAGAACTCAGCCACCTAGATTTTATCCATTAATAAAGATTTACTGATGCAAAAAAACAAATAATCACAACCTTAATAGTATTTTGAAGATATATTAATTCTCCATTGAATATCGGAATAATATACTGCGTGTTCCATTTAAAATAAAGGAGTAACTTGCTTTTAAAAGTGAGCATTGTTGAATATTAATTTTGTCTCAACCTGTATAACTTTTCGGGTCAAATTTTAATTTGAGTTTACATACAATGGTTATCTTAACTAAATATCAGGCTATACAGGATAAATTACAATTTAGATAGCTGTTATTGAAATTTAAAATTTATCCTTCATTTTCACAAAATGTAAAAATAAAAAAATAAAACTTTACAATTTAGGGATATGCTTCTTTAATGCAACTCACCTTTATTTTTTTCCTAGAATCCGAAAATCAATTAATATATAGGGTGTTCCATTACAAAAAACTCAACTTTGATACGTAACTTTTTTGGGGACACCCTGTAGAACGATCTCTATTTTTAAAAAATGCTCTAAAATTAACCTTCTCCCAAAATTATTAGTCTTCTTCCAAAATTTCATTTTGATATAAATTACCGTTCTCATAGGAGCCTCCAAATCGTATGAGAGGTACCACTCTGTACAGGGTGTCCCATTTTGGTTGAAATCATACGGTGTCTCCGTTATTCGTGAAGATAGAAGGCTGCGGTTTGCACAAGCAGTGCCACTTTTTTGTCCCACGGAAGATGTTGTAAACAAAAATTTTATAGCCCGCCCTTCGTTTCTAACCTACAGGGTCTCTTTGAAAATTTTGCAATTTGGGACACCCCCTGTATCTCTGTTATTGGTAAAGGTATTGAGACGGTGAAAACTGCTTATTGTAGAACTTTTTACGTAGAATACAGTGGCGTAGTCTGTAATTCTACGAAAAGAATATTT